CGAAGGCGCCATAGATGGCCCAGATTGGCATAAGCCGCTCTGGCTTTCACTATTCGTGCATTGATCTCATCACTCACACCCCCACCAGCACTTATACAGCTACCCAGATACACGAACTTCTCGACTACGTCTATCTGCTCACCATCCAGGGTGAGTACAGGATTAGAATCCTGCCAGTCTTGTAGAAGTACTTTGCACTTCGAAGGTGCAAAGCACATACCATACCTACGGACACTGATTGCCAACTGATTAAGTGCGGATTGCATGCCTTGGGCATTATCGCACAGTAAGACAATATCGTCCGCATACTCAAGGTCGAGAAGTCTTTCTCCGGGCAACAGATCCACACCACCATTACTTACATTCATCAGAGCTGTTTCCAGAATGTCATCGATGGCAAAGTTGAAGAGGAATGGTGAGATTGGGCAACCCTGCCTAACCCCACTACTCGAATGGAACAATGGAGAAAGGTGGTTGTATGCCCTCACTCTGCCTGAGGTGTTTTTATATAGGGCTTTTAGGATGTTAATAAACTTCTCAGGCACACCCTTCTTCAATAGACAATCCCAGAGAACAGTTCTGTCCAACGAATCGAAGGCAGCCCTGATGTCAAGAAACACTACGATTGTTGGCCTTTGATAAGTATGGCGGTGTTCTAACATTTGGCGGAGGGTGAAGATATGATCAATACATCCTCGACCAGAACGAAACCCAGCCTGCTCGTCACGAGTCAATCTTTCTCGGGTTTTGAACAACCTACGAAGTATGACGGAAGCCAATAGCTTGGACGCAATCGGAAGTTGACTTATCCCCCGATAGTTGTTACAGGAACGACGTGAACCCTTTTTAAAGATAGGGACAACTATCGACTCATTCCATGACGTTGGCACACTCTCTAGTTCCCAAACCTTTGTAAACAACGTCGTCAATTCCTTAGTCAAAAAGTCACCACCATCTTTAAAAAGAGCCGGAGGTAAGTCATCTGGGCCAGGTGATTTGTAACGCTTCAAGAGTTGGAGTTCCTTGCGGACTTCCTCCTCGTTTGGTGGATCAGTCGTCACCGGCCATGGAGGGTAGGACAGTCTGACCGATGTTGCCGGAGCAGCAGGCCCGTTGAACTGCCCTTTAAAAAACTGCCCCCCGTCCAAGACGTCGATGGATGTTAGTGATTGGCATCCCATCATCCTCGCAGATTGTTTCACTCACACCAGACTTCTTGCTGCCAGTGGCTCGGATGAGTTGGAAGAGCTTCCGGTAATTACCAGATGCAGCTGCTGCTTCCAACTCATTAGCACGCTTCGACCACCAGGCTTCTCGGTCCTTACGCAAGCTTTGCCCGATTTCCTTACGTAATATCCTTCGTTTATGGTCAAACTCACGGTCACCCGGAGTAGACCGACGGGCTTCAATGAGTTGTAAGGAACCAGAAGAAACCCAGTGCTTAAAAGCGGGACGTTTCGCAAACCCACAACTGACTGTTCCCGCCATTTTCATGGCGTCATGCAATTGCAACCAATGCTCATCTATACTTTTCTGTGGAGTGGTAGCTAGCCTAGAGGCTAGCTCGGTTCGATACTTATTTGCAACAGAAGTTGCAACCAGCTTGCTAACATCAATCTTTTGGTGGTGGTCACTTCGTTGGCCACTGAAAAGTAAGGCAAGATTGGCGCAGACCAAGGCATGGTCAGAGTCCAGATAGGTACTCCAAAAGGAGCGGCAGTCTTGTACACAACCACGCCAGCGGTAGCTGATCGCGATGTGATCAATCTGAGTCCAGGCTTTGGATGCAGAGGGAGGACGCCAGGTGGCACATCGGCGATGACTGTGCCGAAAGTTAGTGCTAGCCAGAAACAGGTTGTGGTCTGTGCACAGTTGCAGTAGACGGTCCCCGTTATCTGACCTGCGACCAACGAGTCCCCATCGGCCACCTAAACGACTCTCTTCTGTGCCTAGACGCCCGACCTGAGCATTCAAGTCTCCGGCTAGTACTACAATATCTGTCGAACGCACTTTCTGGAGAAGAACAGATAACTGGTGGTAAAACTCATCCTTGATTGCATCCGGGCTGCAATCTGTCGGGGCATAGGCGGAGATGACGAAAAGACATCGTTTCTCACGCCGATTTCTTCTCACTTTGATGGAACTTTCTAATCTAACAGCACATAACCGACTGTTAATGGGGATCCAATCGACTAGTGCTGCCTCAGCTCTAGCGCTTAGTGCGACACCAACGCCTGCAAGACCAGACGAAGATGCCACAGGGTCCCCGGATAAGCGCACGTAAAACAAGCTTTTTGAAGTGACAGATGTAGAGCGAATTTGTAGTACTTCGCTAGAGTCTTGAATACGGGTCTCGGATAGACAACAAACATCAATATTAAGACTTTCCAAAGACATAGCCAGCCCTATCTGTTGACCAACCTGCATAAGTGTGCGAACGTTGAAGGCAGCCAGTTTGAATGGCGCACGTGGTTTCAGAAAAACTGCTTCAGTACTCATATTCGATGGTAACATACAACTTTCAACCGGACAGTGACTCGAGAACGTTTAGATACAGTCGGATTTCCACCAAAGCCGAGCCGCTGTATAAGTATGAAAGAGGGTGAATAATGTGGAAAATAATAATAATAATATTAATAATAATAACAATAATAACGACAATAATAGTAATAATAATAGTATTAATAATGACAATAATAGTAATGATAATTATTTGAATCGACTGATTGTTTTTGTTTTTCGGAGCGATAAAAGTAGTTGCCAAAGACATAGAGTTCATCGTTTGTGTGTGGGCTGTGATACTGCCCGGGTGCCCAAACCGAAGCAGGTGGTTTTCTTAGGGGGCCACTCCCCGAGCCTTTGACCTAAAGGTCTAACCCACAAGGCAGTGGAGCATCGTAAGGAGATGCAATCCCATGGTAGCCGGTGACCAAAGATTGGTTCATACGCCATTTGTTCCCGCAGGATACTGGAGCCCATGTGCACCATTGGTTTGAGATCCGGTTAAAGCGCCGGACATTCGCTTTCGTCCTCTCATTTTTGTAAACAACACCCCCGCCACGAGAAGGCAATGAGTAGGACTTCCCTGGCAGAGGGTGTATACGCGCGGCCATGTGAGAGTATTTCGAGAGGGAGAGCGGACTCACCCCACTCTCGGCCGTACCAGGGCATTCGGGGGTTGTATATTAAATAATCTAATTAGGTTAGATTCAAGGATTGAAATTTTAGTAGGATTTGGTCTGTTTGGTTTATAAGTTATGGTTTAGACCATATTATTAACTAGGATAACATTATTAACTACATAAAAATAACTGTATACATGATGGACAGTAAAGTGTTTAAGACATGATGGTAATGTAAATTTGAGTAATTAATCAGATGAAACTTACATAGAAATGTGATATTTCTTCGGTTGTTTTACAAACGTGAATAGTTACCATATTGTAAATTTAGAACATATCTAAGCGAATAATATTGTTTTCGATTACATCCTGACCAGGTTTTACTCTAATATACAGTAATATTTATATGTATATGCGAAATTATTAAACCAGTCAAGGTAGTTTATGAGTCAATGATAAAAATGGAAAAGACTACATAATAAGTGAAAAGTAAAAATTGGTGGTGTGATGACAGGTGTACTAGTTTTTGATAAGAATAATAAAGGCTTAAATCAATGTTACATAATCGGAAATAGGTCAATGATTAAAAAAATATAGACAGTGGTATAACATTTATAAAAATTATAAGATTACGAAATAAGAAGTGTTCTGATAATTAGAGCGTGAAGCGTAGGTTTGAGAGAAAAAAAGGTATTGAGGGTTTGATAGGTCCTGGGTTCGAATCTCGCGGGGTTCGGGATCGTGGATGCTCACTGCTGAGGAAACCCGTACTACGACATTGATTTAAGCCTTTATTATTCTTATCAAAAACTAGTACACCTGTCATCACACCACCAATTTTTACTTTTCACTTATTATGTAGTCTTTTCCATTTTTATCATTGACTCATAAACTACCTTGACTGGTTTAATAGTTTCGCATATGCACATAAATATTACTGTATATTAGAGTAAAACCTGGTCAGGATGTAATCGAAAACAATATTGTTCGCTTATATATGTTTTTCTAAACGTGAATAGTTCGGGTTAATCTTATTAGTGAGTATAGGACCTACAGAAAGTCTCACTTCGAATAGCTTAAAGTCACCGTTTCCAGTCATAAGAATGAGCGATGTAGGTTAAAATTTCACAAAAAGAATTATTTCCCGTAAGACTGCTGATATGACATGCTAACGAATACCAACTAGTTTATATAAGTAGGAATGTTGAATTAACATAATGCTCTTTTTGAACTCTTAAATTTCATTTAGCCAATTATGAAGAAGTAATAATTTACTATTGGTGTAGCAATATTACACAAAATGTTTTCTGTATCACGAAGAATAAATCCAAGTCCAGTAGGTGGCCTAGCGCATTAACAATAGACTTTAGTAGGGGTAAATATCAAAAGTCTATCAATACCTGACATTCAAACACTTATTATGTATTAGTGATTTTAGTCAATGGGTGACACTAATTTTGGTACTATTGAAAGCCAAGGGGCGTTAGACTTTTATCGTCCTAAAAATATTGAAATAAAAATCTATCTAATCCAATTCAGTCTGACAGCAACTTATTCTGCTCCCTATACCCTCCTCCGATCTTCGTATAGTAAAGAAAATACGCATGACAAACAATATCTGAGACTTGGAAGATAATGTAACTTAAACACTAATAATAAGTATAAATTAAATACAATTATAAAGCAATGTGGTAAAATACATATGTTAGTAAAAGCACTACAGAATAAATGTTAAAAATAAATTTTCCGCAAGATTATTTGTTACAATGTACGAGTATTACATAAATTATTAATAGCATGTTTGTAAGAATTTCATCACTTGTTTTACTTTACACATCACTTATTCACATATCTCTTTGGAACCACGTAGTTTTCTTTCTAATCAGCTGATGGAATTACTTTGAGTTGTTCAAATGATGCCTTTTCTAATGATTCTCTGTTTTTGACAAAAAAAGAATGAATCAATTAGAAAGAATCAGTTAAAAAAGAGATGACAAAAAACATCATACACAGCACTAACTACATGATAACGCTGGACTTGTATGAGAACATTTCTTCACTATTGAAAGAAGTAGACACAAAATAGGTATACCTGATCAATCATTATTATGGAATTCATTATGCCGAAATCAATGAAGTTGGAAATTATGAAATCGGCAAAACTAATCTGTGACCGTCATGAATTTCATACTTTCTTAGAAAGTTGAGTAGATGTAAATCACTGTTAAACTTGGTTATTACTGCTTAGCTGTTAAGACTGTTAATAGACAATATGAGTGGTACTGTATTTTCTGAGATGGATGGTCTATTCATAAAATGTCCACTGTCTTTCTAGATAACAACAGCACCACAAGCAACTAATGGACGGGTACTGCACGAACGTTTACAGCACACTGCTAAAAGATGATGGACTTCAATGCACGGTGATATGGTATTATCATATCATTATGAAGTTTTACTACTCAAAGAATCCGAATATCAGAATAGTTTTGCAGATAAGACTAATCTCAAGCAAACAAATTTATCAAAATATATATTTATGAAGATAGATATTAGAATAACAAACGAGTGTCCATATAAAAAAGGAAGCACGACTTGGTTACCTGTGATCTGGATGAGCAATCTGAATAAGAGCATGTGCGCGCTGCCTTAAACTACGTCCAAATAAATAGGCGATACCATATTCGGTGACAACATAGTGAGCATGAGCTCGAGATGTTACAACACCGGCACCAGGTTTAAGACATGGAGAAATTTTACTTTCACCACGTTTTGTCGTAGATGGAAGAGCAATTATAGGTTTGCCTAAACCATCTTCAGCTATTGCAGCCCCGCGGATGAAGTCAACTTGACCACCAAATCCTTTAATCAGAATAAAACAAGACATTATGGACATTTTAGTATGAGCTCAATTATCATCATTAGCATACCGAAACAAAACTTTCATGAAAGAATCACATGCAAGAATGATTTACTAGTAACTGAAGACTGGATGTAGTATTAAAAAAAGGACCGAGAGATATTTTAACTTTGGCAAACTGTTCATCAGATATGGCGAGTTGTAGTAAGTTCCGATAGACAGACCAGATATTTTGTTTATTTAAGCAGTTTGTGAAAATGCGAACAATTTGAGGACATCTTTTGCAATGGAATATAATCAGCTATCGTAAGTGTACAAGGCTAAGAAATCTCAAACGATGGATGAAAAAAACGATGAAAATTGATACTATTTCACGTGGATAGAGTTTTGTTAAGATTAATCTATATGTACCGAAGATTAGCTTGGATCCGAACTGTTCATGTGAGGGTTCATGATAACAAGATGGTGGAGAAGATTTGTAGCTCAGATTCATGATAACATCTAGTTACCCAACATGAAGTGAAGTAGGGTTCAAATCAGGGACCTGATGGTTTAAAATCGAGTTTACAATTATTCGTATAGGGAGTTTGTAGAGCCTACCGAATGATATTGACATCATGAGCCCACTAGTCAGTTTCTGGTATCACGGAGTTACCTCGAAATTAATCACTGATGAGCAAATGATGATTCAAAAAACTTTAACTAAACATTGTGGGAAGTCTGTGCTTGGTAATATGTGACTTAAATAGACGGATGGTTTATAGCAACAAGAAAAAAGAAATACAGTCAAAACGAATGAAACAATGTGTACTTCAAATTTACCTGAGTAGATTCTACTGCCAACAGAATCGGATACAATTTGGCCAGTTAGATCAACTTCAATGCATGAATTAATGGAAACCGGTTTTGGATTTCGGGCTATTACAAAAGGCGAATTAACCCAGGCCACATCACGGAATTCTTCAAAAAATAGAAACCGAGAATTACTGTTATGATTCCTAGATGATTAATGACTACATAAATTTGGTATTTCAATTAGAGTTTACATGTGAACTCAGTTTACAGAAGTTATACGTGAAACCCTTGGTAAGTAAGTCACGATAATGAGGTCAGATTTAAACTCTAATTAAAAAGGTTACACAAACATACTTCATTTGGATCTGCAAAATGATTTGATTAGTGTTTATCAGTGTTTTTAATAGACGAAGATAGATCATGATTTTATAGGTTTTAACTATTTGGATATTTATTCTGTTGTGATCAAGTTAGAATAAGTCACCTGATGAATCATGATTAATTCATGGTTAGTTTACTGTGAATTCATATCTTGAGTTTCTCCAAGATACAAAATAATCGTCACTCATTTATTACTGGCATGTTTACGTTACATTTTTTGTATGGCATAGTCGATACAGATTGTGTATGAAACAGTTTCATCTATAAAAATCGTACATAATACATCTTTAAGTGGAGCAAAATGCTGTAGTTCATCCTCAAGTTATTCCTAACAAAACTGAGAGAAATGTATTAAAACGCATCAATTCGCTAAAAAAAGGTAAATAAAATTACGATTTTAAAAAAAAATCAAATTTGTCAAGAGTTTCCTTTTTAGGGAAAATCGGAAAGGTATTAAATAATTTTCTATTACTGTTGACCTTATATTTAAGATATGATATTTTATGAAGCTAAAAGACGAGTCCAATAAAGCCTATTTCATACCTTTGTAAATGAATATATTGAACTGGTCTGTGGATTAGAAGAATGTTCTTACTAATATGATGCAGACAGTACAAAGTATTGGGGATAGAACTCATCAAATGATTTTCTTGTAATCAACTAAGCAAACAAACATTGCACTTTAGCTTCGTCCTACATTTTACGCAATCTTTAACTTTATTTCCGTTCCCTTAATTGTTGTCACACTGTCACTTTTCTGACCATGTTTATCACTGTATGTCAAACTGTATTGTTAATTTTGGTACTGAAATATAGCACATTATTATAAGCGGCTGATGAAAACCTTGAAAAATAAAATGAATTCATGTTATTCTATCCAAAGAACTTTACCCGCTTTATTCTATAGCATGAAATGAACCAAATCTATAAAGTTAATCCATAATACAGAGAATTCAATACAAACAGAATTTATTGGCGTGTACATATGATCACTTAATATTTGGTCACATGTTTGAAACTGGTCCCAAACATTAAAATTCCAGCAACTGGATAATATTATTGGAATTAAGACGTTTAACTAGTATCAAAATACACGAACAAATATGCTACTTTTTAGTCCTGAAATACGTTAATTTCGAAACATTATCAAGTGTTATCGAAAATAAAAAAGGCGTTAGTGATCATAAAACCATTTCTGGCTTAGATCATTCTAATCCATACAAAACAAAAGAACAAGACTATATGAATAAAACTGTTGATGGGACTAAAAATTATAATCCAAGGTGTTTTTTCACAACAGCGATACAGACACTTTGGTTCTGAGAATCTTTAGTCATTTTAAACAGAATTCGTTCCAACTTGGAGGTTTGTGGAGAGAAAATACATAAGAGGAGCTTGGTTAAAAATAAATGGAATATAGGTGTGTAATTTAGTTTGTGGAGTAGTTGTAAGTTGACAACAAGCAGATCTTAAAACCTGACTGGCTATGAACGATTAACAATAAGTTTACTTTCTGTTCATTTGAGAAAAATAGAGAGAATTGTCTTCTCAAAATACGCACAAGGTAGAACTGAAAAGATTATGGACAAGTGATGTCTACGGAATCGGACTTGGTATAACTACGTTAAGATGCCTAGAAAAGGAGAAAACGTACGCAATTTATTATGGTACTTTAAAGAGTTAAATATATATGGTTCGAGAATATTCTTTTCAACAAATTATCTTTAAGATCTATGGTTGTCTGTCCCAACTGATGATCCAAACAGTGGCCAGGTTTAAGGCAAATACATCGTCTAAAATTATAGCACGTGAACATATGATTGTTTATAAATTAAGGAAAAATTGTTAATTTTATTGAAATCACGAACTAATCTAAGTTAGACAACAACTGAAAACATGAAAGCGCTGGGCAGAAGGCTTGAAAAGAATGTTCATCGTCCATTTATCGGTGTTTCAATGTGATGGGGATTTATAAACGGTTAGTATATTGATTAGTATTCTATAAAGTTTATTTGAAATACCTTATAAAAACAACAATAAAAATTTAACTGTAGAGACTCACCAATCAATGGGTTATCATGTAAAAACTTGAAAACATTCTCTGTACCAATGACAAAACTCGTGACAACTTTCCCTGGACGTACTACCTTGTTCGCATTTGTTATAACACCATTTTCAACTAGTTTAATAATTCCATCTGAGAACATTTCTGTGTGAACTCCTAAGTTTCGATGGTTGGAAAGCTTATCTAAGACTGAATCTGGAATTGCCCCAATACCTATAATGTAAAAGTGATGTAAGGATTTTGTAAATAAAATCCAGTGGAAAGTCTTAGGAATAAAAATTAAAGTTTGCCACGAAAAATGATGAATATTACATTATGATAGAATGTATAGCCAAAAGTCACTTTTGGAAACAATGAATTGGAAGATATAGACTGATATGACAGATCGTATTACTAAATATACACTGGCATGAAGCAGTGTCTAGTTTTTTTCTTTAATCGCTATCAAGACTAGCTATGCAGGTAATTGTGTGATAATGATTGTTATTAGTTTTCACTTATTGTGGTGATGTGGATTGTGACAATTTAGGTTGATCCATATTTGTGTTGAGTTTTACACTGTTTACGAAGAATATGTGCTCCAATAAGTGCTCACGAGTACTAAGTATCTGAAAAGCTTTTATAGTTGAATAGGTATAAAGTCACTAGTATATTAGATAGAATAGACTAAGTCCCCAAATGCCCAGGTAAGGCCGAGAGTGGGGAGTCCGCTCTCCCTCTCGAAATGCTCTCACATGGCCACACGTATATAGCCTCTGCCAGGGAAGTCCTACTCACTACTTTCTTGTGTCGGGGGTGTTGTTTATGGAATTGAGAGGACAAAAAACGAATGTGCGGCGCTCTAACCGGGTTGGTGGACAAGGAGAGTATGAACCAATCGCTGGTCACCGGTTACCATGGGACTGCATCTCCTTACGTTGTTCCACTGCCTTATGGATCAGAACATTAGGTCGAAGGCTCCAGGTGTGGTACCCTAAGAAAACCACCTGCTTCGGTTTGGGCACCCGGGCAGTATCACAGCCCTCACACAAATCAAATGAGGTTTGTGTGGCACATATGTATCCGGTGCCTCCCTGTACCACTATTTGTGTTTAAATAAATAAATAAAATAAAAAGAATAGACTAAAGTATCAGGAATGAGACTGTCTTAAAAGTATTCTAGTTAGATAAAAGTTATCTCTATTAAAAACAATCAGATACTTCAGTGAGATCGAGAAAATTTTCCAATTATAGCGGCAAGATTTAAACATCCAAGCTTTGGCTAATCGGTTTGGAGATTCTAATGAATTAAGAAACCCGGTTGTTAGTTAGGTCACAACCGAGCTTTATCTCTTCATACAGAAAACAGTCGTAACGCAATAAAACTTTAATTCCATTAATACTAGTAAATCTTAAACAAATATGGTGCTTGAAATAGTAATAAAAATTAGAATGTGAGGAACTTCAGCGTTTATGGATATACGCGATTCAATGACTTGCGAGAAAACAATTGTTTAGGTGAAAAATAATTACCTTTAAAATATTTACTAACCTGTTTGCAGAGTGGCACCATCGTCGATTAGGTTATCTGCAATCAATGAGCCGATTTTATCTTCAACTTCGGTCATTTGTCGTGGATTCATAAAGTGACAAGGCATATCTCCGTGGATGATCGACGTGAAGTTACTTATGTGTACATGAGCATCTCCAGAAGTGACCGGTAAGCTCGGATTTATTTGACCTTTAAGAGTTATAGCACGATGGTAAGAACTTACCAACGAGGTGCTTAGCCGACTCAATAGCAGCACGAGTAACATCTACACTTGGACCAAGAGAACAATACCCGTTAACATCCGGAGGACTGATATTTAGTAATGCTAGGTCGAGTTTTATGATATTTCTGCGAAATAGGAGTGGTATTTCACTCAAAAATATAGGAACATAATCGGCTCTTCCACTCTTGATTGGATCTCTACAATTGCTGCCTGTAGAAGGACAGTAATGTTATGCATTTTATACCTGTGAAAAGCGACACAGATCGGACGTGACTACTTGCTTCAGGATTGATAATTGGAAAGGGTCCCTCTGTATGAATGTGGTAAGCCGATATATTCTTCAGCTTTTTAGCCATCACATAGTTATAAAATTCCGAAATAAGTATTGTAGGTGTAGCTGCGCCGCCGTGAATAAAAACTTTGGCATCTAGTTTCAAATACAATTATATTAAAGTCAGGCAACTTACCATCATTCAAAAAATTGAAAGCTTGTTCACCATTCAAAGCTGTCTTCGGCAAGTTCCCAGCAACGACAGCGAAAGGCTCTCTTAATTTTATTTTTTCAATTTTGTGTCTTGACTCATGGTGTAATGCTCTCTGATATTTGCTGGGTAGAGCGACAAAAGTGACTTTGCTGAAATAAAACTGTCGACAAACTGAAAACATTTGCTTTTTTGAGGCCGGGTAAGAGCTGTTTAGTTCTAAATACAAAAAGTAGGAATGATACAGCTTTAGTATAAAAATATACATCTTAATGAACATTCAAGTATTTTGAAGGTTAAATGTGCACTTATAAAAAGGATCTTTGTACTTTTACTAGAATAACGAGTTGTGGAACTCAACCCTTTAAGTTATGATACAATGAAGATCCAGAAGCGATCATCTTTCTGAACTGTTTAAAACAAAACACAATGTTTGATGTTAAGCAAACAGTTAACTGGCGACCATTTATATCTTTAAACACTGTTCAGTTAAATAATGAGAATTAAATTAATTTTCCCAGTTAAGAAATGAATAAAGTCACTTCTGGAAAGCGATCAGTTGATAGCCTTTTACGCCTAGTTACACTTGCGATCGATCCCAGAAAAGAGATTATTCGAGATATAACAATATACAAAGTTAACAACAATATACCATAAAGCACTATCACTACGAACCTCAGTGTCAATTACGAGTGGAGCAGAAAGTAACAAATTACGGTTACAATGCAAATTGAATATTATATAACAAAATTATAACAGTTATTATGAAATGAATGTTACTTGTAAGCTGCTCTCAGAGTTCATATGATTAACAAAGGTTCCTATGAATATGGTCGAACCAACGGCGTAATGAGAAAGACTAAATCCGATAGTATTACGTGGTAATAATCCGTGCCAAATACCCAACGTAGTGCGAAGAGAATTAAAAGTATGTTACGACACTAGTAAAATCCTCAACCACCAGCCACGGCCAGTAAAGCAGACGAAAGTACGAAGAACATACGTTCGTCTTCAAAAGTCGCGGTAGTGCGTTCTATATATTCACTATATCAGTTTCTTTGTCATCAATACAGAGAAACAACAGCTATTGGATATAAATGTGGTTACACATAAAGTGTGAAAAGTAGAGAAAAATGTGATCTTTTTTGTCGCTAAAAATCGCTGATTATCCATGGTACAGTACAGTTCTACTTTTGGGTTGACCCAAGCTGACAAAAATTGGGAATCAACAACCGAACTGATACAAAGATAAAATAATATTAAACCTACCAATCGATATTTATAATAATCACATTGCTGTGTTGATCTTCAAAGAAAATAAAGTAGACTCACTATGTGAAATGAATGCCACTTCACACAAGAGTCGTAATACACTTTCATTCATGGTCAATTTTTACCAACATAAGAAGCATAGAACAGACATCATGTTGTTTTACTTTATGCTAAGTCTGGGCGGCAGCCATTTTGGTTTGTTCTTGCTTTTGATTGCTTGACCTGTGTTGACTGGAATTGTGCATTTTGGTTGTGAATTGAAGCACTCTTTCAGAATTGAAAACACTCTGTGTTATAGAGCGACCAATTATTACCTTTGAACGAATCTGTACGTGATCTATCCAGACAGGATAGAATAACATTTATTTGTGGTGATTGGTAATTTTCTTGCATCCTTTATCAACTTTCTTATTTATTGTAGTTTAGATTTGATCACTTGAACAATTATTGGTTGGATAGCTGATTTCAAAAAGGGCAGTGATTTTTGCACTTGTTGTGATTATACTTGCTTGTGGTACTTATTGCACTAAAAAACATTCTTGGTCTACTTTAACTAAAAGTTCTTTGGTTAAAGTTTGAAATTTTTTGCTAAATTTTGTCCTAGGTACCTTTTTTTACTCCTAGACTAACACTTGTATTCACATTGTTATCATTTTTTGTTTTTAAACCTTTTAAATCGAATTACAATGGTTGGTAAGACTCACAAATGTGGGCAACCAAACTGTTTGTTCCCTGTGGAAGAGGGGATGCAGTGTAGTGAATGCCATAAGTGGTTCCACAAAATGTGCACCCGCTTAAGTCCCACCGCATACAAAAGATGCTCGAAGCCTAACTCACATTGGCTTTGCATGTTTTGCTGTGCCAACAAGGCATTACTAATACAGGAGGCTGTGAGCCTGTTGGCTTTGGCCTGTAAAAAGAAGGATGTCATATGCGCCGACAACACGGGCACTGACAGCGACGAATGTGTCAGTGTAGTACCTGCTGTTACGCGACGCCTCAAACAACCAACTCTGACTGACGTAAAAGTGGAATCTTCGTTGACATTAACAGGGGGAGTAGTACCACCTGGTACTGATATTGTTAATAATGCACCTTTAATGGGAACCGAAGATCTGGATAAAACAGTCACCGTTCCAAATAGTCCCAGTGTTATGAGGGATGAAAAATGGAATACGGTACGTAGGAAACGAACCGAAAAGAAAAAAGCTGTAAGCAGTACACAGGTAGTTAGTAACTCCCTGGTGGACCCAAATTGTGAGCCACAAATTGCACTACCAAAATCTGAAGGTAAGAGTGAAACCCATCCTGGCGTGACTGAGAAGAAAAATCTAATAACATCGAATATTATTGTGAGCGAATTGCGGGAGTCAAACGACCCTGATCCGAAAATTAGACACGCGCATGACTTAGAAAAGCTAGGAGAATACATTCGTAGTATTTTACCAGACAACTCCAAAGGAGTTCAGGTCAAAAAATTGGTAACAATAGGCAAGAGGACCGAGGACAATGTTGAACCCCGTCCATGCAGACTCCTTAAGGTAATCCTGGGATCGGAGAAGCAACGGGATCTCTTGTTAAGTAGTGCTCGTTGTCACGACAATTCTGACATCCGAGTTAGACCTGACATGTCTCTCGAAGATAGAATAAAAAGGAAGAAAGCACTAGCTGAACTTGAAACCCGTCGGCAAAACGGCGAGGAAAATCTCCGGTCAGTGGGTTTTCGGATAGTCAGGTCTTGGAAGCGAATGCTACCAAGGCCTGTGTGGATAGGCTGTTCTACTTAGGAGTTTTATATGCCAACGCTCGTAGTTTACGAAATAAGTTCTATGAACTATTAGCACTAGTAGACAGGTTAAAGCCACTCATAGTAGCAGTGACAGAAACTTGGTTAGTCCATGACTTAGACATTACTCCAGAATTATCCGGATACCATTGCATCAGGAGTGATAGACATGGATGTAGAAAAGGAGGCGGCGTCCTGTTATATATAGCCAATGGCATAAATATCCGCTCCTTTACTAGCGAATCCCATGATAGCGGCACTTGTGAAGTCATTAGCTGTAAGTTGGCAATAGGATGTAGTACATTTATGCTAGGTGTCATCTATCGGAGCCCAATCTGCTTAGCTGATGACTTTGTTTTAGAGCACATTCATCTTTGGAGTGATAATACCAGGTGCTTGATAATAGGAGACTTTAACGAACCTGATATTAGTTGGACTGATATGACCACAGAAGGATCTATAAACTCCTTTGATAGTAGGTTACTGATAACAATAATGGAGCATGCACTAGTGCAGCATGTATCCCAACCCACACGTTTTGGTGTTAACCAGGGTTCTTCTCTACTGGATTTGGTAATCACTCATGAGACTGAGGATATTGTCGACTTAAATATTCTTCCACCGTTAGTAAACAGCGATCACGCTGTTTTGTCATTCGCGTTTAGAACTAGGGACATGTTATACGATCAGGTTACACCTCACCCAAATGTATGGAAAGCTAACATATCAGCCATTCAGGAATGCGCTGCCAAGACAGATTGGTTAGCAGATACTAGCATATCAGTTGAAGAAGAATGGTCTGTATTTAAAGGTAAATTTAGACTAGTTATGTCCCCGTTCATACCATACCTGGTACCTCGAAGACCGAATAATAGTCCACCATGGATAACTAAAACGGTCAGGAAACTCCTTAGAAAAAGGAAGAATCACTGGAATATGTTCATCCCTACTGGCTTAGAACAATACAGATCCAGTTATTGTAAGATTAGGAATGCCTGTAAAGCGTTATTAAGCAAGACTAGACATTCATACGAAAAACAATTGGTTAGGGATTCTACATATAGTCCGAAACGGTTATTCTCGTAGATAAAAAGGCGAACTAAGAGAAGCGATGGAATTCCATCACTTTTGATACGAGACAATCCGTTAATCTTAGCAGAGAATGATGCCGAAAAAGCTGAAGCTTTATCGGAATATTTTAGTAAAGTGTTTTCTATCGGTAATGAGGAACGACCAATGATTCATCGTGACCGTGACGGCTCGCTGATGGATCCTGTAGTCATTGAGAAAGATACTGTTTTAAGGCTACTTCAGCATCTCAAACCTGATAAGTCCAGTGGTCCCGATGATATTCATCCTAGGATTATGAAAGCCATATCAGATGAAATTGCTGAACCATTAGCGATACTATTCGACATGTCTCTGAGACAGTCCAGACTTCCTAGAGACTGGAAAGATGCTAAAATAAGTCCGGTGTATAAGGCTGGGAGTAGGGATTTAGTTAGTAACTGTAGACTCGTTAGCTTAACTAGTGCAGTTGTAAAACTGATGGAGAAAATCATCCGGATAACTGTTATAAACTATGTTGAAGGGCGAAATCCTTTCTCCAGGGCACAACATGGTTTTCGGAAAGGCCTATCTTGCTTGACAAATCTTCTCATTGCACGAGAAGAGTGGGCTGCGGCAAAGGATCGGAATGCTCCTGTGGATGTAATTTTCATAGATCTAAGTAAAGCCTTTGATAAGGTTTCACACTCTGGTCTTAAATTCAAACTGAAACGTTTTGGAATCCATAACACAGTCGTCGATTGGATAAGTAACTTTCTCCATGACAGGAGACAAAGGGTAAGGGTTAATGGGGCTCTCTCTTCGTGGGTACCTGTAAAAAGTGGGGTTCCCCAAGGCACAATCCTAGGTCCTCTTCTCTTTTTACTTTATGTAAATGAATTGCCAACTGTAGCAAAATCATCCGTTCTACTCTTCGCTGATGACATAAAGATTTGGAGACCCATACATAGTATGTCGGATAGAATAGTATTACAGGACGATCTTAGCTCATTGGTGGCATGGTTAGACAGGTGGTCACTAGAAGTAAATCCTAATAAGAGTGTAGTGATGCAGTTAAA